TGACTGCTATAGTGATGACGTAAGTTGTATACTTGAGTAGTGACGTCAGAGTATAGTTTCCAACATCACCCACGTCAATTATATTAGGCTTTCCTCCTCGTGGTGTATAGGTTATCCTGTATCCCTTGAGCTGCCCGTGAATCAACGACTGATTTTGAAGCTATGATTATTATTTTAGTTTTAGGAAAGAAGTTAAAAACTTAGATAGTGGTAACATGGAGCACATGTTCAAAGGAAGTCGAAATAGGCAACCAGAATATTTTGTTGTCCAAAAGTTTTTTTTCCCTTTAAACTAGAAGGGGGAACAGGCTGTTAGCTCTTATACATGCAACAAAAAGGACATTGGTTAAATTATCAACATATACTTACCTTCCATTTTAGCAAAATTGTTTCAGATGACTTTATTGTAGCATTTAGAGAAGCTATCGATTCGGGTTCTAAGCAAAACACCAATTACAAAACTGATGAATTTGATGTCTTATTCACTAAATATATCGAAATCGGAGCGGGTTTCGCACGTTGGTTGGTTTTGGTTGTTTCACACAAAGCACTTGGAAACCATTTCAATGGTAAATACAAATAAACAGGAATACATATAATTTAAAATAACTACCTGTTATTTGACACTAACTATTTATTCCACACTATGGTAACATGCTGCTAAAGGTCACTTCACGAAAATACAAATGGAATACAGTATTCAACATTCATATTTTTGAGCAAATATTTAGCTATCTCGATTCTTTGTCTGCTAAGGCATGTATTCTATTAGATTCAAATGAAATAAAATGTTATGAAAGTAATGCGTGTTTAATATGCACCTGCAATAGCAGTTCTGATTGTTGTGACGTTGCTCCATACTCCATGTCCTACTTGCTTGATGGCCTTWATTGAGACATTGTATTCAGTGTATGGCTTTAAGTCGGTCACGTTATAACTCAGGTCATCGCCAATAGCTTTATGGGTTCTGTTTTCCACTTTTACTAGGTATCCAGTGATATGGTCAGTGGTACTGCATTTTTTATAGGTCCACGTTAATGTTATTGAACGTTTGTTAGGAATAAATTCCATACGAGGAGGTTCTGGTGGGAAAACATTAACAAGTTTGAAACTCAATCTTAATGTAGTTGGTGCTTTTTCTTATTGTTTCTTCAGTTAAAAAAAAATGAACTTCCAAATATTTATTATCTAAAGAAATGGCTGCTTTAAAACCAATTTTCTACAGTGGTCTTTAATTATCTTCCAGAGAATGTCGTAAAATGGCCAAAACATGTTGCATAGAATTATCACCGTCATTATCGTTCAGTTTGTTTACTAAGCCTTTTAAAAATATTAGTATTTCCCATCTAGAGAAGCCAACACGCATTAAATAATTAATGAATAAATGAATAAATAAATAGGATTTAGCAGTGGCATTTCTACAGAGTAGATATTCATCCACTGTAATTTCAATTGGAATTTAGGAGTTGATTTTTGCGGAGGGAGGAAAACCGGGGAACCCGGAAAACCCTCGAAGCACAGGGGAGAACCAACAAACAACTCTACTCACATACGACACCGAGCTCAGAGGGACTCGAACCGGGTCGCATTGGTGAGAGGCGAGTGCTCTCACCGATACGCCACCCGTACTTCCCGTGCGTCCCAATTAAAGAAAAAAGCGTACGTGAAGATAGGACACATATCTCTAACAAATTTAAATCGGTTAGAGCTGTGCTCCGGGGTCATACATGGACTGTATAGCGGTTGCCAGAGGCGCCTTCAAATGCTTTCAGTTCTATCCCGTTGAGCTGCGCCACAGCTGTACTTGCGGCGGTGATTAGCGGTGGCATGTATCCCGTTAATATAAAATTCACGAAAAATAGAGGTAGCCGAGCAATGTTTAAAATACATACTAGAATGATGCAACATATATACTTACCTTGGTTAGTAACATAAACGTTTACTCTAATTGTCTTCCACGTTTGATAGTTCACTGGTACAAATCTAATGTACCTAGCCAGTTGAGGGTTTGTAAGATCATGACGTACTACACTGTTAGAGTCGGTGTTTCCTTTGAAGAACTGAAAAGTAAAACCATCAATAAAAAGATTGTGAAATTGGGATGAATAGAAAATAGGAAACAGTTTTGCTTTGTTTTAATGCAGTAAATTTATAAATGGCCAGCACCCCGGCCAAGAATTCTTTGTTAAGAACAATATTTTGGCGAAGATCGAAAGCAACTATTATTTTATCATATTCAATTTTAAAACCCATGTCAAACATTTACAAATTTCTTTAGTTTTCTTCATTGTATCTGAAATTACCTTTAAATTTCCACATTCATCTTTATAAGTATACCATTGCGTCATGTTATTTGTTGCTAAATACAGTTTGTATTTTGTCACCCATTCATTAGCGATACCATTCCCTTGTGTTGCTACAGCATTAATAACGCGTGGAGTACCGAGATCAATCTGTAGGTAATCATCAGCGTTATTATTATCACTTGATGCCCATCCATATCTACCATTCAGCTTGGCATTATGAGGTTTGTATCGAACATCATCTGTGAAGTCTGGGCTTTTATAATATGATGAGGCTGTGTAACTGCTGTCTGATAGTTTCAGATTTCTCTCCTTTCCAACAAGAGATTGCTCTGGACACCCTAGTGCAACCAATAAACATAAAACATACATAAAATAACAACGTAGCGTACTGATCGTAGCCTAGTCGATGATGAGGCTGTGTAACCTCTGTCTGGTAGTTTAAAATAGCTATATGTTGATTCCCAAACAGCGTTGGCTACTTCATTATAAAATTTGTTTTTCGTATTTTTACTTTCTTTCTATTTACTCAGGATCGGCGTAGACAGGATTTTACCTTTGAGGGAGGCGGTAAAAGGGAAGGGGGGGGTATCAAATACCGTTTCCAGAAACATCGGTAATTATAAGTCGCGTGAACTTATTACGTGATTACCTATAGGTGTTTAGATTTCTACTGCGTGATGATGACGTTCTTGGATACATTGCTGATTGACAATGATGAAGACACGTTTATCGATAAGCTTTATTCGAGATGACTATCTTAAGCTTATGTATAGACTTTAATCAGCATCAATATGCATGAATATAGACTGGAAAAGATAAGTAGGTGTTGCCCGTTACAAATAGACAGTGGCTAGGTTTGTTTCATATTCAACCTGACGATTTCAAAATTGTTGTCAGCTAATATTTTTACCACGATTGAGTAATAGCTGTAGAGCAAACATAAGTGATTTATTTYTGTTGTATCTTACCATACTCAATGTCTTTCCCATCTGCATAAGGTCCTTCCTTGACTGTAGTCGCACTTATCTTGTATGACAGTATTCCATTCTTTGTAACATTGATACTGTAGATGAGATCAGCTGATGCACTGATTGTGACTGTCTTGTTATTGGATGTATCCTTGTTATAGTAGTAAACGATGGTGTACTTTCTGATGACGCCATTAGGTTCTCGTGGTCTATCCCACGTGATAACAACACTTGGACCAAGTGGATGTTGTGCAGGTGTCAAAGTACCAGTGACATTTACTGGAGCAGAAGGAGCTTAAAGACAGAAATATAGAACTTCTAAATATTGTCTTATTTTTCGCTCTCGATTTTTTACAACCTTTTAGTAGACTATTACCTAACAGAATCTCTATTCTTTCCCTCGCTTGAGGAGGGAAATAGTCCTCCTCGTCTCGAACGTAATGTTTTCCCATTTTATACCACGTTTCATTCCCTTGAGAATAAGATTCTTTATTTGAATGGTATCCACGTTCGTGTGTCTTTTCATGTACAACTGGGCGCAACTGTTAAACAAAGAAATGATACTCTATAAAATGACAAGTGGTCTGAAATGGAAAACATTACGCCAGAGCCGAAGAGGTCTACAAAAAGGAGACTCTGACAGCGGGGTAGTAGACAATATTTTACCGTCCTCCTTTGTTTTAATCTTTGTCGTCTCGCTCCATGATCCATTTACACGTTGTGTTCTCGCTAACACCCTTACGTTGTATTCTGTGTATGGCTTCAGACCCAATAAAGTGTATTGCCTATCACTGCTGCTTACGTAAAGCGGATCTTTAATTCCATTGCTTATGACAAATCCAGTTATGGGGTCTGCTGGATTGCACTGTTTGATAGTCCAGCTTAGTTGGATTGACCTTTGTTGAGGGATTGCTGATACTACGGGTGCTTCTGGA